GTCTGATCCCAGATGGGGGGACGGAGAGAGGAGAGCTCACACAGGCCCCCAGCCCCGCGCTTCCCCAACTCACCCCGCTGCCTCTCCCGAGCCTTGGGCTTGCCGAAGCGCCGCCGGCCTGGGCCTCCTTTCTGCCGCTGCCTCTTCCTCTCCACGGTGCTGCCTTCTTCAGATGCCCCGCTGAGCGAGGAGGCGGCTGACTCGGGGTCTGAGGCCTCGCCCCCGGTCCCCCCTCGGCCTTCCCCCTCGGTCCGCCGAGGCCCGGGCTTCCCCCGGCAGTGGTCGTCTGGAGAGAGGCGGGAAGACACACACACGCATGAACTGCGAGAACAGGACAGTGAGGTGGCGGGCGGCAGGTCACAGAGCCCCGGGAAAGGGGGTCCCCCAGGAGTAAATGCCCAGCTGAACACAGTAAACTAGGCCGGAATTTGAGGGTCCTAGGTGGAGCATGGCCTGAGGCTGCTCAGACTTGGTGCAAGAGGTCTGGGGGAAGGGGCCCAGTGGACCAGGCCAATACCATGGGGACCTCAGGAGAGTGTGATTTTGTGGGGTTCTCACAGTGGAGTTTTCTGGGGACCCAGTGAAGCTTCCAGAAGAGTGGAGGCAGGCAAGGCTTCGGTGGGGGTGTGGGGTTCAAACACCAAGACAAGTAATCTCTGGGTCTAGTCCCTTGGGAAGGGCAGGCCCCCAGACTGGGAAGCTGCCCAGCTTCTGATGCAGGCCCTCCCTCCAACAGCAGGTTCAGAGCCCGCTGCTGGTTTTCCCACGAAGCAAGTCCAGGGGCCCCTGCCCCTGACCATCCTGTGTGGGTTTCCCCATGCAACCCAGGCTAGAGGTGGCGCCAGAGCACAGGGGTCCACAGTGAGATAGGTGTTGAGAAAAACCGCAGGGCCCTCACCCTGACTCTCAGTTGACTTCCCAGAGAGGGAAGTGGAAGCTTTCGAGGGAGTCAGCCAGGGGTTGACCACCAGCGAGGGAAAGAAAAGGCTGGATCCTCCAGGCCACTGCTAAAGATGCGGGCCAGGAAAGCCCCCGTGGGGAGGGGTCGGGGCAGTGCCCAGGACCCAAACAAGCAGGCCACAGTCCTGCCCATCAACAGAAGGACTCAGGCAGGAAGGAGGCTGGGCTTGGAGCCCACGGAGAGCCATCAAAGGGGGAGCGTGAATGCGAAGGCACGGTGTCCCTGAGGAGGGTGGAGCTTGGTGCCCTGGTTGGGGGCGGGAGATGCCCTCACCTGCATCCAGACGCGCAGAGGAAATGAACTTGTCCAGCTGGCACCTCAGGAAGTCCCGCTCCTCCTCTAGGTCCTCAATGCGCTTCTGCAGCCAGGAGTTCCTCTCCAGGGCCAGGTGCAGCTGGGCCCGGACGCCATTCATCAGGGCCACTGTCGGGGAAGCAGCCTCCGCCGGCTCTAGAGGCAGTCGGCCCTGGTCACACCCCAGGCCTCAAGGACCCCGGCTGGTCCCCCACGGGACTCAGTACCCCGCCAGTCCACTCACCCTCGAAGTTCACCCGAGAGGGGCTCAGGCTGTAAAAGATCTGCGGGTCCAGGTGGGGCGTCTCATCGAACGGGATGGAAATCTCCAAGGCCTCGCTGTCTTTCTTCACTGGAGGAGAGAGGCTAGGCTCACCCAAGGGAGGTCCTGGGGCCTCGGACCAGCCCTCAGCCAGGGAGGAAAGGGCAGGGGCTGGGGTGGGTGGAGCAGGGGTGGGTTCCTCACCTGGCCTCCTCCGGCTGTTCATGGTGCGGCCTTCTGCAGACCCCGGCAGCTGAGCGCCTCAGGGCCACTGGACAAAAGGGGCAGCCACAGATGGAGGAACACAGATGGGCTTCTGGGGGGCATTCCGGGGGACCTGGGGCGCTCGAGGTGGGGAGGGCTGCTTGAGGGCCGGGACTCGTGGGTCTGACAGAAGCGGGGCTGACTTAGGACACCTGGGGTTGCAAACTCCTAGGCTCTAGGGAGTTGGGGGCTGGAAGAAGGAGGACCCGTGGGGTCGACGGAGCAGGGTTCTCCCGGCCGAAGTAGGCCGACAGGGTCTCGACGCAGGTCACCGGCCTGGGAGAGAGTGCCCCAACTTCCAGGCGCAGGGTGGTGATCCCAGCCACGGGTGGACCTCCCTGCCCACGGGTAACCCCTGGGCTCGAGCGGGCGAGCACCGGCCTGTCGCCCGCGGGGGGCTGGGGGCGCGGGGGAAGGTCATGCGTGGGGATGCGCCGCCCCCACCCTTTGTCCCGCGGGCGGGAGAGTCGGCGGCGGCGAGTGGTCCCCGCGGGGGATGCGCCTGGCCGCAGGGGCGTACGCAGCCACCACCCTCCCGGTGCCCGGGGCTGGGCTGGCCAGGGCCCTCCGCTCACCCACCCGCGCGCGGAATCCGGCCCGAGGACCGACGGCGGCGGCGCACATGCCCGGCGCCGGGGAGCGTCTGCAAAGAGTGACGGGGAGCGAAAGGAAGCGACCACCCACCCGCGGGCGGGGCGGAGGCGGTGGTGAGTCTCGGAGCCGGGCAACGGGGAGGGCAGGCAGCCGGGGCCGCCTGATGCGCAGGTGGCGTGCCTCCTCCCGAAGTCCCGGGTCCCCGGTGAGCTGGCCGTTTGCGGCGGAGACCCGGGTCGCACTTGCGCGACGGCCCCTTGCAGCAATCCCTCCCCCCCCCCACCCCGCCCTCGGCGAAGCGTAGTTAGGGAACGTCACGAAATTCCCAATTCCTGGAGAGCTGGCGGTGCCCGGGGTCATTCGGGCAGGTGTGGAGGCGCCGGATCGGGTTTGGGAGACGTAGAGAACAGCGGGGAAAGTTGAGGATCCCCTTAAGAGAGGTGCTGGGAACTGGCCGAGGTGGACCCCCGCGACCCCGCTCCTCCATCTCCCATGGGCTGAGCATCCCGGGGCTGCGGAGTAGTGAGTTAACCCTCCCCGAAAATAAAGGCCTAAAAACCAGTCCCCGTCCTGGTGTTATTAATAGCTGGCTTTGCAACTTTCGACCTAGATCCCAGTCCTGGCCGCTCCTTCGCAGCCTCGGTTTTCTCACCTGTAAAGTGGGGCGATTATAATGCCTTTTAGGTCTGTTGTGGGGATAGAATGATACGACACAGACAGAACGCTCAGCCCAGCGCCCGGCCGGGGCCAGAGCTCAAGCTCGGGGCCCTGTGAGGGTTATCTGGAGTCAGATTATGGAACGCTCCTTCTCTGGGGAGTAGAGACAGCTGGTTTGCTCCTCCACCCTACAGGAGGTCGGAAGACGAGATGAGGCCCCGCACAGTGCCTGACAGAGCTCTGACACGCAAAGAAAATTCAGTGAGAGGGTAGGTGTTTATTTGGCTTCTGCCCCAGTGCCACCTGCCTCTCCTCCCTCTCTCCGGTAGCTTCTGTGCTCCGAAATTCCTACCAGCTCTTAAGAGAGCAGTGCTTTTTAACCCTGCAGCTGGAGAGTCGAACAGTCTTGGCCACACGCCCCTCCTATTCACTTCACTACCGGGGTCAAAACGTGCAGGGGGAGGCACCTACCCTAGTTCGGTATCTTTCAAACTACATATTCATGCGCAGAAAATTTAATATGGTAGAATGAAATCTGTAATCAGTCTAAAAAATGAAGTAGATGGAAAAAAAATATGAGGCCTGCACACAGCAGAAGTAACTATTGTTAAACCTTTGTTTTGCACGTATTTTGTGTACCTGTATACCGGGTTGCCATATAAAATGTGTTTCTTATAATGGGTCGTGGTTTTTAGAGAGTTAAGATTAAAAACACTCTGTCTCAATGACACAGGTGGTCAGGAGCCAAGCTCGGATGGACCCCAGGGCAGGCTAACCTTCCCATTCCCCAGCCAGGTGGGCCAGGCACTTGCGAAGTCTCCCGGCCAGGCAGTGGGCAGAGAGAGTCTCCCAGAACCGACCTCACGTGCTCAAAGTGGGAACACGTGTTTATTGAGTGTCCAGACTCCACCTCTGGCTGGAGTGGGAGGCGAGTGTGGGGCCCTTTCCCCCAGCACCGCACATTGTGGGGGCGGGGGAAGGCGGGTCTCAGGAAAGCAGTGCAGATTCCTGGTGGCCCGCAGGCACAGTTTTCAGGCCCGAGAACGGTAACACACGGCACTCTCGCCCCCACCTGGCCCAACCCCAGCAGTCAGGGCTCAGTCGTGGAATCGCTGGTGTCTCTGAGGTTAGAGGGTTCCATTCAGGAAACGTGGGGGTCTTGTTCCCATCTTATCTCCCAAACACCCGGAGATGACTGCAGGGCTTCTCCTTAAGCCCGGAGTCGGCCTCCCCGCCGAGGTGGGTCTGTACTTGTGTCCAGGGCCCCCTGGTGCTCGCCGGCTGTCTGGGGAAACATCCTGTGGAGCAGGAAGGTCCGGGCTCTGGGGACCCGCCTGTCCGAGGGGGAGGGGCCTGCATGGCCTCAGCGGAGTGAAACGCCAGGGGCCGGGGGCCGGGGGCCGGCAGCACCAGCATCCGGATGGGTGGCTGAGGCCTGGGGGGTGGGAGACAGGACGAGGAGGTCACGCGGAGGCGGGAAGCTCGGCCCCACGGGCTCCGTCCTTAACGCTCTGCGTGCCCTGCTCCGGACCGCTGCATCTTCTGCAGCGCTACCCTGACTCCGTGACCCTCTGAGGCTCCCAGGCGCCCCCTCCTCGAGACACCTCTCCCTTCGTTCCCACCGCCGACCGCAGGCGCGGGGTCTCTTTGTGGCTGTCTGCCCTCCTCAGCTCACAAGTCGCCCGCAGGCCCCACCCATCAGGCCGCTGACCCGGCCGTGGGGGGGTCAGTGCCCGCTCCGGGCGCCCTCTCGGGTGGGCGGCCGCGTCGGGAGCCCTGTGTCCTCCCCCGCCCCCAGCGCGTTCCGTCCGGGGCACGCCCACCCGCCCCCACTCCCGGCGGCGTGGCCCCGCTCCGCAGGCCTCCGCCCCGGCCCCGACCCGGGCCCCGGCCTCTCTGCCCCGCCCCGCGCTCGGGGCATCGCACGCCCGGCNCACGCAGGGCGCCGGGCCGGGGCCGCCCGCCGGCTCAGTGCAGCCGCACATGCTGAGCCAGCTCCGCGGCGTCCTGGAAGCGACGCGGGCAGAGCGGGCAGGCGTGCGGCGGGCCAGCGCGGGCGCGGTGCGTGGCACGGTGCCTCGACAGGTGGCTGGAGCGCTTGAAGGCCTTGCCACAGGCGCCGCACGTGAAGGGCTTGAGGTCCGAGTGCGACACGCGGTGGCTCTGCAGCCGCAGGGGGCTGGCGAAGACGCGGGCGCACTCGGGGCAGCTGTAGCCCTTGCGCGGCCCGGGCTCTCCGGGAGGCGCCTCGCGCGGGGCCGGGCCGCGCGGCTCCTCCTCCAGCGGCGCCGTGTACGTGTAGGGGACCCCGTTGGCGTCGATGAGCAGGTGGCGGCCCAGCCGCGGGGGCCGGGGCCCCGCCGCCGAGGACGCAGTGGACGCAGGGCCCTCCGCCGGGGGGAAAGGGGGCGCCTTGGGGGGCGGCGGGTCCATGGCCTCGGGAGAGGAGGCCCGAGGGTGGGGGGGCCGCGGCGGCAGCAGCAGCATCCGGAGCGGCAGCTGGGAGCGGCGGAGGGGAGACAGGTCAACACGGCCGCTGCCCGGGGACAGTGTCCCCGCCGTCTCAGCGCTCGCGGCCCTCTGTCCCACTGACCTCCTCCCTGACGGGAAAGAAGGCTGCCTCCAGGCCGGGTTGCTCGGCCCGCACCAGGCAGCCTCAACGGCTTCTCTGGCTAAGTTCAGCAGCTCAGAGACCCCACCTGCCTTTCCTCGCGAGTCGTCCTCTCCTCCCCCAGGGCGGCCTGAGGGCATCACCCGGCCTCTTCCATCCTCCTCTTCTTACTCCTGCTTCTCTCCTCCCTCACTCCTCGACAGCCAATCAAACCCCAAACCTACTTCGTCCTTTACATCTTCTTGGTTTCTTCCAAGTCTAGCCAGGATTCTTGCCCCCAGAATTTCTCTAACGGGTCGCTTCCTCGGCCACAATTTAGGTTGCATCCTCTCCCCACCCCCGACCCCCGACCCAGGACCACCGCAGCGGCCTCTCCTTGGCCTCCAGACTCTCCTAGACGTCCATGCCCACTAGTTCCCTGGAAGGCTTCCCGAACCGGGATACGTCTGTGGCTGCTCTTAATTTCCTCCCGAGGTACGTCCCCAGAGCCCCACTAATCCAGTTTCCCACTTTTCCACCCGGGGCTCCTCTAACCTGTTCCTGCACTTGGCACCTTAAGGATTCAACATACTCCTCCATTACCTAGGGGCTTCCCTGGTGGCTCAGTCTGTAAAGAATCCGCCTGCAACGTGGGGGGCCTGGGTTCGATCCCTGGGGTGGGAAGATCCCCTGGAGGAGGGAACGGCTACCCACTCCGGTATTCTGGCCTGCAGAATCCTATGGACAGCGGAGCCTGGTGGGCTACAGTCCCTGAGGTCGCAGAGTCGGAGACGACTCAGCGACTTTCACTCCATCACCTAACCTCCGAATTTAAGGTACGCATCGCTAGGATGCCACCCTTCTATGCAGGCGTCGGCTTGTGAACTTTCACACCTGCTACATCCCCACCTCCCCCGGTCCAGGGGTCCTTCTCTAGCCCGGCCCTTAGGCATAGGCCGCTGACATCGTTCCGACCCTCTCCATAGCTGCCGGGGCCCCGGAACCCCCCTCCCAAAGGCCGGAAGCGCGCGCCGCAGCGAAGGTTCCGCCGCTCTTGAGCTTCTGGGGGTCCGGAGCGGCGAAGGGGCCAGGGCGCAGAAACCGCAGCGACTGCCCGCTCCCCTCCCGCCCGCGCCGGGAGCTGCTCGGGGCCTGGGACCGAGGTCGGAGGGTAGATGAGGGTGGGCGGGTCTGCGTCTGCCGAAGCCCCGCCCGAGCGGGGGCGCCCAGGCCATCCCCTCGCCCCGGCCATCCCTCCTGCGTCCGCTGCCCCGCGAGGCCGAGGGCGGGAGTACCGACGTTTCTGTCCGCGGGGCTGGTGCAGGTCCCAGGTCCAGAGGCCAGGCTGGGCGCCGCCGTGTCCCCGCCGGGATCCGCCCGCCCGCAAAACGGGGAAACCGAGGCCCAGAGAGGCCCAAAGTCTGCCAGATGGGGAGGGGTGGGCTTCTCATTGGGGGCGGGGGGTCAGGACCAGAGTCCCCAGATGGGGAGATGGGGGGGGTGGGCGTCTCATGGGGAGGGGGGCGAGGACCAGGGAGGACCAGAGTCCACTGATGGGGAGGGATAGGGTATCTCATGGGGGGCGGCGGGGTGGACCGAGGACCGGAGGATGGCAGGGCAGCCAGGCCAACCGGGAACCTAGAGCGGGGGTCGGCGCCGGGCGGCCAGGTGGCCGCAGCGGTGCAAGGCGGGCGCAGGCGGGGCACGTGAGTTGGAACCCGGAGGGCAGCGCCGGGAGCCGCTCGCAAGGCCGCACTCCGCGCGCTCGCAGCTCGACCTCTGGCTGCGCGGTGACCCGGGAGCGAACGCCGGGCGCAGCCGGGGGTACATAGCGGAGAGAACCGGAGTTAAGTTCGCGCCCCGACCAAAGACCCGGGTTGGGCCAGAGCTGCCTCTGAGAGAACTGCGAACAAGAACTTTCTGCAATGATGGAAAAATCCCCCGACCTGCGCTCTGTGCAGGGTAACTGCCGCTAGCCACCCGGGACTGCTGCATATCTGAAAGGTGGCTCGTGGTTAAGGACCTGACTTTTAAACGTTTCTCTTTCTCTTTAAATAGACAGGTGGCTAGTGGCTGCCCACCTGGCGGTACAGCTCCTGAACCACACTCAGCCAGTTGCAAACTGGAGACCCGCGAGCCACTGAGGGTTCAGTTATATTTGGTTTGGATCGCAAGATATATTTTACTGGGCAATAATCTAAATGCCAGAAAATGCACACACAAATCCCCAGGAATAGAAAAAAATCTCTAGGTGGGGCAACAGTAAGCTGGAACTAAGAAAACATTCTTCAGAAAACTTTCAAGAAACCTGCAAGTGCCCAAACAATTGTGGTATCAGGCTAAATTAAAGATCTTCTCCTGCAGCCGTGTTTAAAATAGAGGAGACATGGAAGCAGCCTAAACATGCATCAACAAATGAATGAATAAAGATGTCAGGCATAGATACAATGAACTATTACTCCACCATCAAAAAGAACAAAATAACGTCTTTTGCAGCAATATGGATGGCTTTAGAGATTGTCATAGATGTCATTGTCTGACCATTCTCTGAGTGGTCAGAGAAGCAGAAACATTGTATGACATCCCTTATATGCAGAATCTTAAAAGATATAATACAGATGAACTTTCGTACAAGACAGAGGCAGACTCACAGGGACTTTCCTGGTGGTCCAGTGACGAAGACTCCCAACGCAGAGGGCCGGGGTTCAATCCCTGGTCAGGGAACTAGATCCCACATGCCACAATTAAAACTCGATGCAACTCCCCAAAAAAAGAAAATAAACAGACTCACCAACTTAAGAGAAGGCACTTATGGTTCTGGAGGTGGAACAGGATGGGGAGGGAAGGACAGAGTTTAGGATGGACATGTTCACACTGCTGTATTTCAAATGGATAACCAACAAGGGCCTACTGTATAGCATCACTATATCTTAAGTGATTTGGAGAATAACTTTGGTGTTTGTCTTAGTTTTTTCAATAAAAGTTTTATTAGAAAAACAAAGATCCTCCAGAATTATACAGTCCTGAAGGGCAGCCACTGGACACACGTGGCTCTCAAGCACTTGGCACGTGCCCAGGCTGACCTGAGATGGGCTGTGATGCAGATGCCCCTCAGATTCTGAAGGCTGAGTATGAAGAGTGTAGAGCACGTCGTGAATGATGTCTGTGTGGATTCCACTGAGAAAGGGTATTCTGGGTAGACTGACTGGGTTAAGTATTAAATGAGCCCTTAAAATTAACCTCAGCGGTCCCTTTTCAGTTTTTAGAGTGTGGTGCCCTACTGCACATCATTGGTCGGGCAGGCTCTTCCTCCTCTGGCTTCCTGGCAGGGGTGGGGAAACAGGTGGAAGCTGGTGCACCCAGACCCTGTGCTTGCCTTAAAGGGGCCAACACCCCCGTCTATACCAGGCCTCTCAGCTTCGGCGCTGCTGACCTCTGGGGGCTGAGCCAGTCTTTGCTGTGGGCTCGTCCTGCGCACTGTGGGATGTTGACCAGCATCCCTGGCCTCCACCCCTTTAGATGCTGGAAGTACCACCCCACCCAAACCTCCCACCCAGCTGTGACAACAGGCTTGGCCAAACAACACAGATCCTGTCTGTGTACAGACACCCCTATGAATCTCTCCCCCAGATCCCTTTCTTAAGTTTCAGATCCAGAAAACTAGCTTCGTCCTTGAGAACCACACCCATCTCCGGAAACAGTAACAATAACATTTATTGGGCCTTTCCTATGGTGAGAGTCCCGTGGACTGCAAGGAGAGCCAACCAGTCCATCTTAAAGGAAATCAGTCCTGAATATTCATTGGAAGGACTGATGCTGAAGCTCCAATCCTTTGGCCACCTGACGTGAAGAACTGACTCACTGGAAAACACACTGATGCTGAGAAAGACTGAGGGCAGGAGAAGGGGACAACAGAGGATGAGATGGTTGAATGGCATCACTGACTCAATGGACATGACTTTGCGCAAACTCCGGGAGTCGGTGAAGGACAGGGAGGCCTGGCGTGCTGCAGTCCATGGGGTTACGGAGTCAGACACGACAGAGCAACTGAACAACGTGGTGCCAGCGGTCGTTGTTGTTAGATGCACCCAGTCCTCAGAGCCCAGACAGGAAGTGTCCTGAGGATCCCAACCTTATAGACGAGGAAACCGAAGCTCAGAGAGGTCACGTGATCGGCTGAAGGCCCTGCATCCTCAGGTGGGGAGCCGGCATGGCACTGTCTCTACCTGACCCCCGAGTCAGAGGTCATGGCCACTTTCCTAGGGGCACCTCGGGCTTGTCCCCAGCCCACTGCTGCCATGGCAACAGCCTCCCCTCCCACCCCTCTGCCTCCTCTGGCCCCTTTTCCCTATGGCAACACGGCAGCAATTTTGTAAACCTGCCAAAACATGTCACTCCCTGACCCCAAACCCTCCTTGCTGCACTTTAGACTAAACCCCAGAAGCGCCCTGGCCCTGTGTGGACTGGCCCCCAGCACCACAGTGCCCCCTTGCCAACCTCTCCCACCTCCTGGGCCTTGTGTGTGCTGCTCCTCTCTCTGGAATGTTCCTCCCAACCCCTCACAAGGACACATCCTTTCTAGCCAGGTGGGAACTCAAGTAACCCTTCACCACTGTAGCGCTGCAGGTGATATCAGAGGTCAGCAAGGGGAGGGGAGGCCCCCCTCTGCCCCTCGGGCCATCTCCTCCGCATCTCTGGTTACGCTCTGTGAGGGTCTTGCTCCTTAACAGATTTGCTATTTTCCTGCCTGCCTTTCATGTTCCGTCCTGGGCAAGTCTATCCTCAGACTCTACCAAAGTTCTGGGGAGCAGAGAGCGGCTGGATTCAATACTGGTTAAATGATCGAATGAATGGAATTCAGTCACCCTACCGAAAGGTAAAGCTCATCTCCCCGAGCCAAACAA